CGGGGGCAAGGGGCGGGGCGGGCCCCATCGAACCCCCTTCATCACCTGACGCGGTCCGGAGTCCGCCCTCCCCGCACGTGGTCCTGTGACATATGGGATGCTGCGGACTTTGGACCGCCGCATGTCACTATCACCACGAGCCGCGTGCTGGCGGTGCAGCGCGGCCACTCGTTCGTTGATCCGACATCGTACGACCCGCGAGCGGCACCCACCATCGGCAAATATCGGAAGAGGAGAAGGGGGAGAGAGGGGAGATTAAGGCGCAGAGGGAAAGTGAAGTCGAAGTAGAAGAGTCGGTGTACACACGCGAGCGGGGTGGGACAGGGGACACGTGAGTCGAGTCGGGCGCGGGGAGGGATGCGGTCCCCGATGCGTCATTGCGAATCGTGCAGCAAGGAGGGATGCCGAGCCGAGGACGACGGCGGCAGTCATGGTCAGGAGGGCCGCGAGGGCGCCGCGCAGCGCCCGTCCAGAGTACGGTCCGCGTCCGCACACCTAAATTTCTTCGACGTGGATCCGTGGTCAAATCGACCGCGATATCTCGATTTGAGTGACAAAAGTGCGTTTTCCGAGCAACGTCGACGTCGAGCTTCGACTTTCGTTTCTGGCTAGGGTCTTTCCGGCCCATGTTTAGTGCCACCCTCAGCCCCCACCCTGCAGGCATGGTGTGTCGGAACTTGAGTGGTGTTTAGTGAAGTTGGCGGACTGTGGTTCAATAATATTCAATTTTCTTTTGCGTTACTTTTTATAGACAAGAATAATGGCACAATCAAATATGGCAGGAGATATTTTTTTACACGCAGATAAAAGTTTTGTTGACTTCCCTAGTGCTGTAAAGTAACTTACAAGCTAAGTGAGATGGCAATACAGAGTTATATCACAAATAAGGTATACTTGGGCAGGCTCAAGTAAGGATTGGAACCAGTGCACAGGGCGCATACTGTCCTGCCCACTTTTTCAGGTAACCCTAAAACAGGTAAGAAATTGACAGTCTATTACAAATGGTTTTTCCATCATCAGTTACTATAATAATATGTACAATTCATCTCTTCAAAATGTGAGGAATGGCTAAGAGTAATCAGCGGGTAGCACATTCTTACATGTTTCTTAGATACTAGATACATTTCATGGATTTATAATT